AAATCAAAGAAGAAATAAAAAATATATATATACATGGAAACAAATGAAAGTGAAAACAACGGTCCAAAACCTTTGAAATGCTAGAGCAAACAATCCTAAAATTTGTATGGAACCACAAAAGACCCTGAATAGCCAAAGCAACCTTGAAAAAGAAGAGCACACCTGGAGGTATCACAATTCTGGACTTTAAGTTATATTACAAAGCTGTAGTTATCAAACAGTATGGTACTTGAACAAAAATAGACACATATATCAATAGAACAGAATAGAAAATCCAGAAATGAAACTACACTACATGGTCAATTAATCTTCAACAAAGGAGGGAAGAATATACAATGAGAAAAAGAGCCTTCAACAAATGGTGTTGCAACATGCAGAGGAATGAAATTGGACAACTTTCTTAAACCATACTAAAAAAAAATCCAGGGGCGCCTGGGTGGCTTAGTCGGTTAAGCGTCCGACTTTCGCTTAGGTCATGATCCCGTGGTTTGTGGGTTCGAGTCCCGCGTCGGGCTCTGTGCTGACTGCCAGCTCAGAGCCTGGAGCCTGTTTCAGTCTGTGACTCCCTCTCTCTCTGACCCTCCCCTGCTCACGCTGTCTCTCTCTCTCCTAGAAATAAATAAAACATTAAAAAAAAATTTAAAAAAAAATCCAAAATGTATTAAATACCTAAATGTGAGAGTGGAAACCATTAAAATCCTAGAGGAAAACAAAGGCAGCAACCTCTTTGAGATCGGCACATTGGTCATTGCAACATCTTTCTAGATATATCTTCTGAGGCAAGGGAAACAAAAGCAAAAATAAACTACTGTGACTACATCAAAATAAAACCTTCTCCACAGTGAAGGAAATAATCAACAAAACCAAAAGGCAACCTATGGAATGGGAGAAGATATTTGCAAATGATACATCTGATAAAGGATTTGTATTGAAAATCTATAAAGATGTTATCAAACTTGACACCCCAAAAAACAAATAGTCCAAATGGGCAGAAAACATGAATAGATGTTTTTTCAAAGAAGACATACAGATAGCTTAGAGACACATGAAAAGATGCTCAACATCAGTGATCATCAGGAAAACGCAAATCAAAACTATAATGAGATACCATATCACACCTGTCAGAATGGCAAAAGTCAACAACACAAACGATAGGATATGGAGAAAGGGGAACTCTCTCGCACTGTTAGTAGGAATGCAAACTGATGCAGCCACTCTCGGAAACAGTGTGAAGGTTCCTCAAAAAGTTAAAAATAGAAATACACTATGATCCAGCAATTACATTACTAGGTATTTACCCAGAAGATACAAAAATCCTAATTCAAAGGGACACATGCACCACAATATTGTAGCAGCATTATCTACAGTAGCCAAATTATGGAAAGAGCCCAAGTGTCCATCATCTGATTAATGAATGGATAAAGAAGAAGTGTTACACACACACACAGAAATATTACTTAGCCATAAAAAATGAAATCTTGCCATTTGCAATGATGTGAATGGAGCTAGGAAATTTAATGCTAAGTGAAATAAGTCAGCCTAAGAAAGACAAATACCATATGACTTTACTCATACATGGAATTTAAGAAACAAAACAAATGAGCAGAAGGAAAAAAAGAGAGAGAGGCAAATGAAGAAACACACTCTTGGGGTGCCTGGGTGGTTCAGTCAGTTGAGTGTCTGACTCTTGATTTCAGCTCAGGCCATGATCTCAAGGTCCTTGAGACAGAGCCCCACCTTGGGCTTGGGCACCCTGATAAGCGTGGATCCTGCTTGGGATTTCTCCCCCACCCCACCCCGCGCCCCCGCCCTGTGTCTCTTCTCCTCTCTCTCAAAATATTAGGGAAAAAAAAAAAAGAAACAAACTCTTAACTATAAGTGATGGTTTCTAAAATGGAGATGGGTATGGAAGGGTGAAATAGGTGATTCAGATTAAGCAGTGTACTTGTGATGAAAACTGGATGTTGTTAGAAGTGCTGAATCACACTATTGTACACCTGAAACTAATGTTACACTGTATGCTAACTAACTGGAATTTAAACAGAAACTTAAGAAAATGATAACTGAGGGGCACCTCAGTGGCTCAGTTGGTTAAGCATCTGACGTCTGCGCAGGTCATGATCTCACAGTCTGTGAGTTTGAGCCCCATGTTGGGCTCTGTGCTGACAGCTCAGAGCCTGGAGCCTGATTCCATTTCTGTTTCCCTCTCTCTCTACCCCTCCCCTGCTTGCACTGTCTCTGTCTCTGTCTCTCTCTGTCTCTCTCTCTCTCTCAAAATGAATAAACAAACATTAAAAAATTAAAAAAACAAAAATAATAATTGAAGGTAATTTTCTGAAAAGTTACAAAGAAGGCCATAAAAAAAAAAAATGGTGCCCCCTCTCATCAGTGGCTTAGTCTTCTCAACAACTTCATCAACTTCCACATTAAATTATTCAGCAAATTGATTTTTCTTCCTAAATATTTCTCTGGTAGTTTTACTACTTTAATTTTTCTTCCCACTCTAATCCTAGGCTGAGAACATTTTTGGCCTAAACTGTAAAGTTCCCTTTAATGAACCTATTGCTTCTAGTCCTCATCATTGAATCCCACCATCCCCAAGTTATTACAAGATATCATTTTTTTTTTTTATAGTTTTAGAAAGAGAGAACATGAGGGAGAGGGGCAGAGAGGAAGAAAGAGAGAATCTTAAACAGGCTCCACGCTCAGAGCCGAGTCCAACTCAGAGTTTGATCCCATGACCCTGGGATCATGACCTAAGCTGAAATCAAAAGTCAGATGCTCAACCAGCTAAGCCACCCAGGTACCCCTACAAGTTATCATTCTAACACAAAAACCCATCATTTATTTTTAGCAAAACTCTTGGATGATATTAAATTAAAAATAAAGTCCTAAAATTCACTAACATCCATACAAATTATATGGCTCACATCTCAAATGTTACAACCACCTATAGGTTCACTTGATATCTGTAAAGAAAACAAAATTAGCTTTACTCCCGAAGAATTTTTTATTTCTAGCTACGGTATGTCTTGTATACATTCAGTTTTCTGTTAGTTTCTGAGGTACTTGGAGATAGGGATGTTGTCACACATAGTTTGATGTCTGCCTGGTTTCAGGCTTGCAATAAGCATATAAAATTTACTGAATTAAATTCAACTAATTTGAATGCCTATGAATTATGCCTGCAAAAATTAGCAGTTGATACCAACAATGCAAATACAGTAATGAATTTAGATAATTAAGTATATATTTCCCCTTTTGGTTTGATCAGGTTATAGACAATCAGGAAGAAATTTTACTTTAAGAACATAATTTTGATATGTTAATTGCATCCATTTTTATACAACTTGGCAAAAAGATGAAAATGTTAATTTTAAGGTACATGGACATATTCAAATAAATTAAATGAATACAGTATACGACATGGATCACAATAAAACTAAATACCAAGGCTATCAGTACTTTAGTGAAATATGCAGAATTGCTATTTTTAAGTTAAATCCTTTGTGTTATCATTTGTTACCTGTACCAATGTTTTCTTTTAAATAGCACTAAAATTAGATTCAGGAAAAATTTGAAAAAGGAATATATATATTCTTAAAAGGCTATACTCCATTAAATATTTTTTCGTTTTAAAAATTAAGAAAACAAACATGTATTTTGTGGATAAATATTGTATGTAAGGAATGCGAGCAGAAGTATTCCATGGAAGCACAACTCAAAAATTGTCTGGGAAAAAGGTCCTGGCAAAATTGAAATTATGCAAGTCATAAACTTCCATAGTAAACCAAAAAATGAAAGTCCTTTCTAAATTATTCTTTTCATGTGTGAATGTCATGCCAAAGGGAAAAATGTTTACATTTAATCTTTTACTAGCCAAAGATTTTTCTAAGAAGCCAAGCTATACACAATGTAATAAATAAAATAATGGGAAAATAAAGTTGTTCTTACAGGATTTCACAACTGTGATTTCTTCGTTTTCTGTTTTTGTTTTTATACTTAAATTGCTAATCCATACTGAGGGATTAAAACACAAGCATCCACCCATTTCATATTTAACTTTTATTTAATTTCCTTAACCAAAGAGTTTTCTAAGAAACGTAAGTTACCTACAATAGAATTGATTTAGATACTATTCTTTTACACTCTTTATGTGCGTGCACGTGTGTGTTATTTGTTTCGACCTAAGACTTAAAATAGAAATTCCTCCGTAGCCAGGATTAAAACACGCAACTGTCTGCTACTAACCATATCGTGAATTTCCATTTTGTTTTTCTTCACTACAGTAATTCAGCCATCGTGACAGAAAACTATGACGTGGACTATTGATACTACCAAACACTTCAGCAGCAGACGGCCCATTTCCAGAGAAGAAAATGCCCTTTACGATCCTTACGTCATCCCCGAATGCGTTTCAAACCTCTGCGTTTGGAATATAAAGCCCAAGCCCAATCCCACCGCCGCACCAGCCCAGGCTGCCTCGAGACTCCAGCGCCCGGAAGGCTGTGGGTGGGAGCCCCGAGCTGCGGCTGCGCACGCGGAGCGGCCGCGTCCCCTCCAGCAACGTCCTGCAGCAGGCCCCGCCCCCGCCGTCCGGCCCGCGGCTCAGATCCCGGCGCGCGAGCCGCCGCCGTTCCGCAGCCAACCGCCACCACCGTGGCAAGGCCGGCAGGTCGCGCAATGCTGCCTGTCCTGCTGATGCTCTCAGGCCTGGGCCGGCTGTCCTCCGCCGGCCTTCGTGAGTGTCGCACCCTGCTCCGTAGACGGCCACCTGTCGCTGAGCCTCTGGGCGTGGCGGGCTCAGAAGCTTGCTCCAGAGCCCCGCGCCCTGCCCAGGGGAGCCCTGCGTCCTGTCGGAGCCCGCCTGGAGTCGGGATCCTGCGGGGCCTGCGGCTGGGAGGGCTCGGAACAGGGCGGGGACCCTGCACTTGGAGGAGAGGGCGCGCAGCTCCCGGGAGGTGGGGCCTCCGGCGCAGCTCTGCTTCCCCTCCTGGGGCGGAGGTCAGCAAGTCCCAAAGTGGCTCTGGAACGTGGGAGGGTCAGGTCCCGCTTCCAGGGAGCCTCTTCCTGAAGGTACAGAGTCTGATTCCGTCGTGTGAGTTCAAAGCGTGACGTGATGTGACAGGCCCAGGGAAGAATAAGGATGCTGCCAGGCACTGGGGAATGCTCACGGCTGTTTTCCTGACCGCAGATCCCGAAACATCACTTCTGCAAATTACAGTGCCACGGAAGATTGAGACAAACGCCCATGGTGAAGTTGCAGAAACGCATGTAATTAAGAAATCACTTTTTTTTTTTTTAATGAGTGCTTTATTTTTACTGGACTATGTGACCCAAATCAATTCCTGCATATATCCCTTTGAAATTTTGTGTCTTGAGTTTTCTTATTTCCCAATGAACATTATGAAACACCTTTAAAACAGAGACTCAGAAAAAAGTGCCCCAAACCCCTATCACACAAAATGATATATACAGTCTACTAGACTTTTTTGTTTAAACAGAGTATGCATATTTAAATATTTATTGTGTAAATGAGCTCACACTCATGTTTGCCTTGTAACGTTTTTAAAATGACAATACATAATTTCTTCATGCCTATATTTGCATATGTGGGCATATATAAGTCTGTTAAAATGAAAGTAATATTATTTTAAATCTGATTAAAAAGTAAAGCAAGTACATTGTGAAATTAAATCTAGACAGGACAGAGTTGTTCAGAAAGTGAATGTCTGCCTCAGTTTCTAAAGGTAGAAAATTTGAACTGCATGAATTTTTAGAGATATGCACACATCTGCACATATATTTTTAGTAATAATATATGAGTGTGATAATTGGCTCTTTATTTATAAAGTTAGAATATATTTTATGATAATAAATATAGCTCTGTCATTTTTCATAACCACACACATATGGATGTAACATTATTCTTTGTCAGATTTAAACATATAGTTTTATAAACCTTCTTGGATAGTCATCTCCATAGGATCAATAAGCAAGCAATTTTTAAAAAGTGATGTAGGGGCATCTGGGTGGTTCAGCAGGTTAAGCATCTGACTTTGGCTCAGGTCATGATCTTGTGGTTCCTCAGTTTGAGCCCTGTTTGGGATTCTGTGCTGACAGCTTGGAGCCTGGAGCCTGCTTCAGATTCTCACCCTTCCTGCTCTTCCCCTGCTAATGCTCTGTCTCTCAAAAATAAATAAACATTTAAAAATATTTTTAAATGACGCATATTATAAAATGTCTATCAGAAAAGTTGTATTATACTTGACTTATTAATTAAGAATAAGGACGTTTCTTAAGGGCTTTTGCAGGCTTGGTTCAGGCTTCTTATATCTTTATTTTTTTTAAGTTTATTTATTTCTTTTTAGGGAGAGAGAGAGTGCGTGAACAGGGGAGGGGCAGGGAGAGAGAATCTCAAGCAGGCTCTGTGCTGTCAGTGCAGGGCTTGACGCGGGGCTTGAACTCATAAAACTGTGAGATCATGACCTAAGCCAAAATTGAGTTGGATGCTCAACTGACTGAGCCACCCAGGCACCTCAGGCTTCTTGTTTCTATTAATGTGATAATCTAATGAATGCTACACACAGCGTGAGTAGGGGAGGGTCAGAGAGAGAGGGAGATACAGAATCTGAAGCAAGCTCTAGGCTCTGAGCTAGCTGTCAGCACAGAGCCCAACACAGAGCTCAAACCCACGAACCATGAGATCATGACCTGAGCCGAAGTCTGACGCTTAACCAACTGAGCCACCCAGGCACCCTGTCTAATTGACATTTTTAAATTAAGTCTTAAAATGCCTTTATATATATTACCTATTTGAATCTTTTTTCTTTTTAATTTCTTACTGATTTTGACTTCCCTTTTTAAAAAAGTTTTATTTATTTTTGAGAGAGAGAGCAGGGGAGAGACAGAGAGAGAAAGGGAGACACAGAATCCCAAGAAGGCTCTAAACTGTGAGCAGAGAGCCTGATGCAGGGCTGGAACTCAAAAACTGTGCGATCATGACCTGAGACTAACAGTCAGATGCTTCATTGAGCCACCCAGGCACCCCTTGTCTTCCCTTTTTATATGGATTAGAATGTTCAGTTAGGACACTTTGTTTTCAGGAGAGATGTGTTGATGTAAAGACACACAGAGATCTGATAGGAATCCAAGGATTGGAACCTCAGTAGCAATATCTCAGAGGAGAATTGAATTGCCGACTGGAAAACTGTTAGACACTGGGGCAGGTTTTATAGACTGGTCTGTTTGACTGTCTCCTTTAATGACACACACACACACACACACACACACACACACAGAATCTAGTGATTATGTGTTCATAAAAGCTATTACACCAAAAACAAATATCCACATAACTGAAAATATTTAGGATGTATAACTTATGCTGGGAACATGCTAACCAAAAGCAAACACGAGTATCCATGACAAAATCAGGAGAAAACCAACATTTAGTACACATATCTGCACACTATTATGAGAGATATTGATAATACAATATTGAGTTCACTAGGAATATATAACATTTCTGAATTTGTATGTTTTTTTAAAAAATGCTCTCAGCACATATAAAATAAGGACCGATTACACTAAAGGGAGAATTTTTCAAATCCATTTCCATAGTGATATCTAAAATGTTTTTCTCAAATGTTGGTTTAAAATCATAAAAGGATTCATAAAGACAATTTGAACAACAAAATTGTTTCATTTGATGGGCTTACATAGAAGTGAGCCCATCAAAATGAATTTATTATTTTATCCTCTCTGCTATTTGTTAGGACACACTAGACTATGGGCTATCACCATGGGACTTTAATTTAATGGCAAAGCATGTGGTGTAGCAAGAGAGAATTCAGGCAAATATCAAGAATTCGAGAAACATCCACAGTGAGCTTCTTATGAAACCAGTCTCTGCTCCTGGAACATGTTGAGTCTCTGGCTTGAAATAACGAGTCTTAATGGAAGGAATTTTGGCTTTTGGAGGACTCCTTAAAAAGCTTTCAATGTCTTTAAGTAACCAAGCCAACCTTGTCTAACTGGTTAGGGAAACACTAAAGAAGCTAACCTTACTCAAGAGAGCTTTTGGAACCTTAAAAAGTACCCTGTAAATCTCACTGCCTTTGTATCAGCAGAGAGTCAGAATATCTAGACTTGAAGGCAACTCTAGAAATAAAGAGAGTGTTTTTCTAATCTGGCTGTAATTCAACTTTATAGTAAATAATGCACATTCTTCCCAAGAATATACAGATAATTCAACAAAATTGACAAAAGCAAGGAAAAGATGTTAAAAATCAAATCCTGACAGTACAATATTTATCTGGCAACAATTAAGTTAAATCTTAAAATGGTTTAAGATGTATATGGAAATTTAAAAATACATTTCTACATTATTCATGGGTTAAAGAAGAAATTGTAAGTCATAATGGATATGAAATAACAATGGGTGAGATTGAAGAAATTACAACCCCAAATTCTGAAATGACATAGAGTCCTACTTTATAATCATTTGCAATTTTGTTAATTTATTCCTTTTTGCACCCATCAACAAAGATTCAAAAATGTAATGAAGAAAACTATAGATTAAAAGGAGAAAAACAACGTCACAATAATTTGGGGAGATGTTCACACACCTTTTTCAAGAGTTGTAAGTTACAAAAGACTGAACATTATAGAATGTTTAAAATGACTTCTGCAGAAAACTGTACCCAATGACAACCATACTCCATAACAAAATTCATGTTTTTTCCCCATTTTTTCTGCATTTTGCAAATGTGGAAATTAACCATGAAAAATGTGTATGTTTTAGGATGATGTCACAGATTGGATTCTTTGGGATGCAGTCTTTGAGAAGATTCCCTTGAAGGTAGTTTATTAGGGTATGCTCTTGTGATGAGCACCTGTGGACAGAACAGAAGGAAGCAGGAAAGGGGAGACAGAGACTCAACTGAGTCTCAACAAAGTGTGAAGCTGGGATAGTCCATCAAGATCTGCAGTTGGAATGAGGGGAGTTCTCATTAAATATGGGCTGCATCAGAAAGTTTTGAGTTGGTGTGAAGTGACCCTCTTAGCTGAGGCAATTCCTAAAGAGGACGGGGAGATGAAGGCTCTGTGGTAGTGCTTCTGACAGCTTGGGGATGTTGTACCCAGGTTGTACTCTTTAATTTTCAATTTATTGTGTTAGAAATTGCAAAGTAGAAAAAAAATAATAAAATTCAGGTTTCTTCCAAGATTACTTAACATTTCTAAATGTAACCATTTTAAATCACAATCTCATTATGGTAATAAATGCTAATGACTAATCTCTTAGTTTTGAAATAGATTTAGACTCCTTGATTATATTGAAATTTAATTATGGTTAAATCTGTCAATTATTACAAGATGGAAAGAAGATAGCAATATACTTAATATATGCATATATTATTTTGAGATGTGTGATATGATGTAGGTTTATATGAAAGAGTAAATTCATTTTAAGAAGTTATGACTTTTGAATTTCTAATAGTTACATTCTCTCTGAACACTTAATGTGTTCTTTCTCTGTAGGTCACTTATGCCATCAAAATTGACCAGAAAACATACACTCTCCATCTTGAAAAACAGTAAGTAGAGATTCTTCTTTTTATACAGTTGTTTTAGTTTCTGAAATTTTACAGTCACTACCCCAAGTTGAACCTAATTAAGAGCATGACTCTTATATTTAACATGTTACATCTTTGTAATTCAAGTTAGACTAGAATTCTAAGTCTTCATCTTGAGATTTTAAGTCTAATATTTGAGACTAATTCTATTTTCATGATTTAAAATTAATGTGTATCAGATAGATGAAAATTAGTCTATATAACTCTTTACAATATAGCCACACCTGTAACAATTAAGGCAATAATTTTATTTGTTCATGTTGAATTTCGTTCATCCTGTCATTTTATATATGACTTTATGATTACATACATGATTTAAAGCATTTTAGTTGATATTACACCAACTTTTTTTAATTAAAAAATATTTTTTAATGTGTATTCATTTTTGAGAGAGAGAGGCAGAGCACGAGTCAGGGAGGGGCAGAGCTGAAGCTGAGCTGCCAGCACAGAGCCAGACGCGACGCTTGAACCCACAAACTGTGAGATCATGATCTGAGCTGAGATCAGAGGCTTAACCGACTGAGCCACCCAGGCATCCCAACACTAACCTTTTTTCAGTGTCTTAAATTTTCACTCTGTGAGGAAACCAATATTAATAACCTTGTGTGTATCTTTCCACCATTTTCTCTCTATTCTAAATCTCACCTTTCTTTTAAATAAAATATGTAGAAACCTACCAAAAAGGGTTTGTTTTTAGACAAATAGAAATACTGTTATGCAATTGGGAGGTTTTATTTAATAACAGTGTTCATTTTCTTGCTCCATGCATATATCTTAACTCATTCTTTAACAGCTAACACTCTGTAGTGTGGCAGGTTGATAGGTAATGGGGTCTTTCCCAGGGATTGTCACCATAGAGGCCTGCAATAAGCATCCTTGTATGTGTGTGCTTCTGTAATAGAGATTTTGTTTTGTAAGCTTGATATCAAGAAATATGTTTCTGCATCAGGAGGTGTGAATAAAAGTAATAATAGTGATGATAATGATGACAACAAAAGTAATTGACATTTATGGGGCACATGTCAATTACCAGACATATTTCTAAGCAGTTTGCATGCAATTACTGACATAATTTTCACAACAACCTTCTTTATTACTCAGATTTTATATTAGGATTTTGAGAGATACTGCCAGTTTCTGGAAAGACAGGAGCAGTTTAGATTTTCAAAGCATGCAAGATGTGCTAAAATATTATATTGCATCTTTGTGTCAATTTGCATTTCCCTAAATAACTGTCTGAACAATTATGAACTATTTTCATTTTCCTGTTTACTGTTTCCAATTTAATATTTTTTCAGAGCAATTTTAGGTTTACAGCAATATTGAGTGGAAGATACAGAGTGTTTCCATGTATACCCTGTGTCTCCCCCCACATATATGGCCTCCCATTATCAACATCCCCCACCAGAGTGATATACTTGTTATAATTGGTGAGCCTACACCACGTTATCACCCAAAGTCCATAGTTTATATTAGTCCAACATTTTTTATATTTGCTTTTTTCTTTTGAATGATTAAACGTTAAAAAAGAAAAATTCTGAGAATAATATAAACAATTGCTTTCTTACCATGAAGAACACACATGTAAGCATTTTATTTATGTAGTTTTCTAAAGAGTGTACATGGATAATAGTGAAATAATAGTGAAATCTATTATTTCCATTTCCAGACATAGTTCTTTCACTCCCCAGTGCTAATCACAGTTATGATACTGACACATATTCTAATGTCATAATTTTATCTTCATTCATCTGTATGCCAAGAGATTAACAAGAATAATCATGTTTTGCTTGATTTCCTGATTTTGGCTCAGGTCATGATCTTTTGATTCATGAGATTAAGCCTTGCAATGGGCTCTGAGCCAATAGCGCCGAGCCTGCTTAGAATTCTCTCTCTTCTTCTCTCTTTGCCTATCTCCCTCTCTCTCTCAAAATAAATAAAATAAAAATTTTAAAAAAGAATCATCATGTTCTGAGTACTATTTTAAATAGACACAAGTGGAATAATACTTCTCTATAGAATTTATTCATCTTAATATGGTGGACCACTAAAGTGACCCCAAATTTTTACTCTTGACTGTATCTTCACTCTTTGTCATGTAACTCTGAGTTCCTATCATCAAGAGGTGGAATATATACATCCATCCCGGCCTCCCCACCCCCAACCCTTGGATATGAGTTTATCTATGCAAGGCCGACTTATGGTTGTGTGGTCCCCCAGGAATCCATGGTTAGACATGCTCTGTACGTGGCTTAATTCTCTGCTGTTGCTTCTCTGAGATTCTCAATACTTTTGAACAAGAGACCTCATATTTTCATTTTCACAATGGGCCCTGCAAATTATGTAGCCCATTCTGTGGCTATGTGACTTACTTTGGCCCAAAAGGTGTTAGCTGACTTGATTCAGTAGAGGTTTGAAAAAGCTCCCTGCTTTCCTGCTCTCCATCTTGTTTGTCTGCCATCCCCACGAGAATATGCGCGGGGCAGCTTGCTGGAAGATGCAGAGAGGTGGAGCACAGCCCAGGTGCCCTAATCATCTCTAGATCAGCCAACATTCAGCTGAATCCCAGACCATTGGGCAAGCCCGGCCACCATTAGCAGAACTGCTAGGGCTACTCACACTTGACCCCAAGTGTGAGTAATGGATACTTACGATGTTATTGTATGTGGTTCTGGTTTTGAGGCTGTGCTTTTTGTACAATATTTTGCATAACATTTTTATTTGAGAGTCGTTCATACAGATTTGTGCAGAATGAGTTCATTGATTGTAAATACCTATGTAGCCATTGAATGAATATATCTCATTTGTTATTTATCAACCCATATACTTATAGCAAGAAAAGCTGTATTGTGGATATCTTTGACCATGATGTTCTGGGCTTCAGTGAAATTGAAGAGCAATAAATGATACAATTGTCAATGATAAATGATAAAGTTGCTACTAATTTTTACTTCAAAGGGTTTATACCAGTTTTTACTCACACCAATAATTCAGAAATATTTCTATTCTCTACATTCTCAGTAAGATGAGTATATTCACTCATTTTTGTTAATGCATAAGAAAAGCTATTTTATTGTCATTTTTGTTCATTTGTTTTGGGTTATTTATTTTCAATCTATAGCTTATCCTTCTACTTTTCTTTCTGTTTTTTTCCCCATGATCAATTTGTGGGAAATTTTGTTTCCTGCAGATATTAACTCTTTGTGTGCTCTGTATGTTGCAAATATGCTATCCAGCTTAATTGATTGTCTTCTTCCTTTGCTTGTGGGATTTATTGCTATAAAAATGAAATATTCATGTAAACATTATACCCATATTTTCTTTTATAGGCTCTCAGATTACTCACTTGTGTCACTCACATTGTGAATTTATATTATAATATTCCTATGGCGTTTTAAAAGTTCTTTTTATATTTAAAATGTAAATCCAATGCTTTCAGTTTCTTTACCTAACAACTGTATTGAATTTTCCAAGTTTTATTACTGCTCTCTTTTTTTTCCCTCTTATTGTAATTTTATGCTGACCTAAGTATTGTTTAGTTAGACTAGTTTCAGATTATTTTCATCAGATGGAATGCTTTTTGAACCTGTTTATATCTGCAAATGTCCTTTTAGTTCTCATAATTGAATAAATCCCTTAATTGTTCATTTTATTGTTAAACCACTACACATTTTAAAATTTTTTATGGAAATATATGGTTTCATCTTTGGTCTTATGGACCCACCCTTTATAGTATAGGTTTTCCTCCAACTATTTTTCACATCTTTATTTTGGCTGCGTTTTTTACTAGCAAAATTTGTTCTGTTTATTGATGAGGCCTCTATTTCTGTTCTTAGCATGCATATTCTCTGTCAGATTTATTAAATTACTTTTAACTGTCATCATCATTTTAGTCTTTTCTTAAAATGATATGCTTTGAAAGCTTATTAACTTTTTAACTTGTTCACTTTTCTTTAAATAATCATTATTTTCTTTAATCAATTTCTTCAACTTCATTAGGAATTTGCTTTTAAGTTTTGCCTTCTTCCCTTTTGTTGTTCATTTTCCTTTGTTGTTATTTTCCATTGAATAGCTGTTTGTATTTCTGTTATTTCACCAAGGCAGACTTTTTTGTTCTTTTTTTTTTTTTTTTT